ATTTCCGTGTCTCCTTTTCCTCAGCCGCTCTAGGAGAGGATACTTCGGCCAGCTGCGGGGACCTTCTTCTCAAGCTTCACTCGCAGTTCCCTGGAGACATCGGCTGCTTCGCCATCTATTTCCTGAACCTGGTGAAGATGGAGCCGGGAGAGTGCATGTTCCTTGCAGCCAATGAGCCACACGCCTATCTTCACGGAGGTGAGTGTCGGCACTGAGCCCCCGTGTGACGTGGCGGCTGCCGTGCCTAGCTAGGACTGGGGAGACCTATTCGTTTATCACTCTGTCCCAGGGGTCCCCAACCTTTTTGAACCCGTGGGCACCTTTGGGATCCTGACACAGGGCGGTGGGTGCAGCCACAAAATGGCTGCCGCGAGAGGCGGAGCCAATTAAAAATGGCTGCCACTGGAGGCGGGGCCAATTAAAATGGCTGCCACTGGAGGCGGAGCCACATGCAGAGAGGAAGCCCAAGAGCAGGGGAGGAGAGAGGTGATTTTTAAAAATGCCTTGAGGAGGAGGAGTGAGAGAGAATAAAAGAACTGCTGTGGCGGCAGCTGCTGTTGAAACAATGCTGTTCTCATCTGCACAGTGGATCAGATTTTCAGTGGCCATTCAGAAGCCCTGCCTGGCAGGAGCCCCACCCACTTTCTAAAAACACTTGGTGGACACCATTTTGGGGACCACTTTTCCATTCTTTTGGGGGGTTTTAAATTTTTTTTCATATGTACGTGTGTGTGCTGGTCAACTACACACACGCACACCTGGAAGTCATGGCAATCTCTGGCGACTGAACCCTACTGGGGGCCTGGAGGATATTCAGAGAGGTGGCTGAATAAAGCCTGCCCCCACCTCCCGCCTCTGGTATTCCGTGGAGGTCTCCCATCCAAGGACTTGCCAGAGTCGACCCTGCGTAGCTTCTGAGACCTGGTGAGATCGAGCTTGCCTGGGCCGTCCAGGTCAGGGCCCCCGTTCTCCATTCTTAATCACATTTTTATCTCTCCAGTAACTCGGCATGGCTTAAATAGTTCTGTTTCCCCCACACACACTGTTTGTTCTCACAAAAAAACCTCTTGCGAAGCAGGCTAGGCCACAGGTCGCTGAGTCGTGTTTTTGGTTTGTAACTTTTCCTGTCTGCAACTAAGATGGCCGTCGTTCGGTTCAGAAGCCTGTCAGTTCAGCTCCGTTAGAGGAGGAAAGAGGAAAAGGATGCGGCTCCATTCCTAGAGTGGGCCGCCTCCCCCCCCCCTGTCACCAGGAAGGCTTCCGCACACACTGATCATTGGGGGGGGTGTGGCGGTTGTCTTTTGCTTTTAATTCTGCAGACTGCATTGAGTGCATGGCCTGTTCCGACAATACGGTGCGGGCAGGCCTCACGCCCAAGTTCATCGACGTCCTCACCCTGTGCGAGATGCTCAACTACACTCCGGCCCCGCCCAGCTCCAAGCTGCTGACCCCCACCCAAAGCCGCATGGACCCTTGCGTCACCATCTACGACCCTCCTGTCCCAGACTTTGCTGTCATGAAGATCGAGGTGAGCTTGGACCTCTTTGGACAGGGGCGCGAGGGAGTGAGCTTCTTGCACACGTTTCTCCTTTTAAGGGTTGTTGGCCGTCTGCCGGCAACCCCTGAGAGCTTTTGGGGGCTGGGCAGGACGTGACGTCACTGCAGGTGGCGTTGCAGTCATGCTGCAGGGAGTTCCGGAATCTCTAGAGTCAGTCAAAGCATAAGAGAAGCCATGTTGGAGCAGGCCAATGGCCCATCCAGTCCAACACTCTGTGTCGCACCGTGGTCAAAACCCAGGTGCCCTCAGGAGGTCCAGAACTCCAGAAGCTTTCCCGCTGTTGCCCCCCAAGCATACAGAGCATCACTGCCCCAGATATAAGAGCATAAGAGAAGCCAACGCTCAGGAGGTCCATTAGCAGGGCCAGAACTCCAGAAGCCCTCCACTGCTCCAAGACATAAGAGGCGCCTGGTTGTCAATTGTCATTAATGTTTTATTGCTTTTATCTGTTTTATATGGGTTTCCCCCTCATAAGCCGCCCTGAGCCCGCTCTGCGGGGTGGGCGGGGTATAAATCTTAATAAATAAATCAGGCCAGTGGCTCATCCAGTCCAGCACTATGTTGTCACACAGTAGCCAAAACCCAGGTGCCTTCAGGAGGTCCACCAGCGGGACCAGAACTCCAGAAGCCCTCCCACTGTTGCCCCCCGCCAAAGCACCAAGAATACAGAGCATCCCTGCCGCAGACAGAGTGTTCCATCTATACCTTGTGGCTAATAGCCACTGATGGGCCCCTGCTCCTTACGTTCATCCAATACCCTCTTGAAGCCGTCTGTGCTTGTAGCCGCCGCCACTTCCTGCAACAGCGAATTCCAAGAGCGTTGGCACACCATCGCTTTCTTCTTTATTTTTTTGCTCCACGTTCCTAAATCTTTGGTTTGACTTTCCGGTAGCAAAGGGAGGTGGGGGTCCACCGTTCTTGAGCAGGAAGCGGCGATCCCCGCCGCCTCCCCTGACCCGTGTCTCTCCCCTTCCCTTGCAGATACCTTCCACCGTCAAGCTGTATCTCGTGTCGGCCATGGACTCGGCCAGCATCCTGCTGGTGCTCAAGGGAGCGGCTGTGGGCACCTCCACCGCCGCCACCTCAGAGATGACCCTCCGCCCAGGCACCGTGCTCTTCATCTCCGCGAACGAGAGCGTCTCCTTGCGCCTCTCCGTGTCGGAGGGGATGTTGCTGTTCCGGGCCTGCTGCCTCTTATAACATGGAATGCTTTAACCCTCTGACCCCTGGTGTCATTTGATTTTAGAAACCGCCTGCCTCCTCTGAGGTTTCCTGTCCCTCTACCCGCCGCGTACGAACCCCCACGAGAATCGAGGCTTGCTCTTCTGCAGCCGACAGCTGTTTCCCGAGGCTTGCTCTTCTGCAGCCGACGGCTGTTTCCCTACCTCCTGCTACCCAGACAGACCAGAAGGTTTGCTCATTGTAACAGCGGCGCTGTTTTAAGATAGTAGAATCTCCCACTTACGTGGAGAGAGACTTAATTCCCCCCCCCCCTAATTGCTGGGTATTCTTCCCAGCGTGTAGAAGGCCAAAGTTTCAGCTTTAGGATATCTTTCTTCCTCTTCCTGTTTTCTTCCCGGTGCTCTGTAGGGGGGAGACCTGCCCCACGACTTCCATTTTGGAAACTAGTGTACCAAGGCTTGGGTGACTCCTGCCTCTGACAACCCGCCTGCAAGGGAGATGGTCGGTTCAGAACAAAGCCCTAGTGCGGCTTGGTTCAGTGCCTGCGTCATTCCGTCCCGGCTGTCTCAGAAAGGCCCTCTGAAGTGTGAAAATCAAATCTTTGTGTGTGTGTATGTGTGTGTTATGGTCCCCTCCACTAGCAACCCTACAGCAGTTTGGTGTAGTGGTTAAGTAGAGTCTTCATTTGCTGGGTTGGGACTCTCAGGTGCGCTGCAGAGCTACTTGATTGAGGAAGGAACTCCTGCGCGAGTGCACGTGCGCTCCTGCTTCTCTCGACAGACACAGGAGGCGAATGACGCAGGGTCACTCAGCAGCGGTCCCTTGCTCCTTTCTACCTCCTGCTCCGTTTGTGTGACCCGTCCCCAGCTCTCTCCGTTCACAGACCTGCCCTTTAAATCAGCAAGGTCATAAATGTTGCCCCGCCCCTTCCTGTCATCTGATGGTCCAGAAAGGCTCCAGCCCATCACGCAGGACACCTCTCAGGTGCGCTGCAGAGCTACTTGATTGAGGAAGGAACTCCTGCTCAAGTACACGTGCACTCCTGCTTCTCTCGACAGACACAGGAGGCTAGTGACGCAGGGTCCCTCAGCAGCGGTCCCTGGTTGGTACCTTGCTCCTTTCTACCTCCTGCTGCTGGCCTTTAATTGAGCAAGGTCATAAATGTTGTCCCGCCCCTTCCTGTCACCTGATGGGTCCCTGGTCCGGAAAGGCTAAAGGCTCCAGCCCATCACGCAGGACACCAGTGGCTCACAGAGCACCGCTTTGCCACCCTCTGCTGTCTGTCCTTGGGATCGGCCAGAAACAGTAATGTGTCGCTCAGTTCTCCTAGTCCTACCTCGCAGGGGCCACGTCGGCCTGCCGTAGTGGCATCTTCAGCCTGCTCGGGCCATTGATCACAGTCTGGGGTGCCACAGCATCACGGTACTTTCACAGCTACAGTGTAGGAAGCATCTCCTTCCGGCCCATTTACGGCCACGAGACCCCACCACCACCACCACCACTTTAGCCTGCCACCTAGGGTGAGACCCCTCTGTTTACAGGCCTCTAGAGCCTCTGGGTTGGATTTGACATCAGCTTTTCCTGTTTTTTTTCTGAAATCCAGACAGAGTTTGAGAACAGGCCCGAGAATTCCGCCTAGTGTGTGTCCTTCTGTTGACGTCTGTACTGGCCAGCAAGGAAGAAACTTGCCACTTAACAGGGATACCTTTCCAAGCCAGACCACTGAAACAGTGTCAGGCCGTGGATGCTATTTTGGGGGGCCTGTGGATAGAGGCTGGTGCTCAGCTTGGTCCCCATTTTAAGTGGAAGAGGGTCTCCGTATTCCTCTTACCGGGCCAGGAAAGCAAGCTGGTTTCTGTTATCTCATTGTCTGCCCCTCTCTGCTGTATCCTGCCCTGCCGTCCACAACTCAGCCCCGGTGGGTTTAGCACGAGCTCGGAGTAAAAACTGGTGCTTGAATATATATTACACCCACAGAGAAGAGTAATAGTGAGGTCTCCTGTTCCTTTAGTTTGTGTGTGTATGTTTTTAACGGTCGGCGATCATATTTGGACACAAGTTTCAAAGTTATAAAGTTTGGCCGACGCTTTCTCTGAAAAGTAACTGTCTGCAAAACTGCGTGATTCTGTTTATAAACTGGTCTGTAACACCATGCACAAGGTGGCGAGAGCTGACAGAGAGAACTTTTTTTTCTCCCTCCCCCAAAATACTAGAAATTCGGGGAAGCTGATGGGCAATAGATTCGGGAGGGACAAAAGGAAATTCTTCTTTACGCAGCAAGTGATTAAAATGTGGAATTCACTGCCAAGCGGATGTAGTGACGGCCGCAGGCATCGATGGCTTTAAAAGGGGGTTGGACAGGTTCATGGAGGTTAGAGCTAACAGCGACTACTAGCCATGGGGACTAAAGGGAACCTCAATGTTCAGAAGCAGTCATCCTGTGAGTTCCAGTCCCCAGGAGGCAACATCAGGAGGTGGCCTCAACCTCTGTGCCCTGCTGTTGGCCCTTCAGCAGAACTGGTTGGCCCCTGTGTGAGACAGGAGGCTGGACTAGATGGACCCCTGGTCTGATCCAGCAGGGCTCTTCTGATGTTCTAATGAAGGCCTCGGCCTCTCTGCCCAGTTGTTGGCCCTCAAGAGGAACTGGTTGGCCCCTGTGTGAGAAAGGAGGCTGAACTAGATGGACCCCTGGTCTGATCCAGCAGGGCTCTTCTGATGTCCTTGTTTGCGCCTCTCTCCTTGCAAGCACGCTTTGTGAAAAGGCAAATGTTCTGTCCCTGAAGCGCTTGCCAGCAGGGTTCCCTCTAAGCCGAATTAGTGTGAGCTAGCTCACCGTTTTTTAGCCTCCGGCTCACACATTTTCCTCTTAGATCAGGAAGGACGGCTCCAGAGCCAACTAATTTATGCGGCAGCCAAATCGCTCCCTCGCGACTTTAACGCCGGTAGCTCACAAAGTGGACTTTTTGCTCACAAGACTCCACACCTTTGAGGGAGCATTGCTTGCCCGTAGTCATGTTATAAATTTAGGTAGACTTAGCAGCGAGAGCTTTCCTGCAAAGACCAAGGGAGTATCAGTTTTGTGGCCTAGAATATCTACTGCTCTCGGGGGGGGGGGATTTGGGGGGGGTCACAATACCTCCTGTGAACCAGTTAAAATCTGTAGGGGTACTGTACCTCTTAGAAAGGGACCAGAGCTGAACTAATAGCTGCTTTGATTTCACGCCAGGGTGCCATCAGGCATGGTTCAATTTATTTGATTGGCAGAGGAAGTTCCTCAAATTTGTTCCGTGCTCACATAGGAAAAGGACTCTCTCCTCCTCTAACCTCCATGAGCCAGTTTGGTGTAGTGGTTACGTGTGTGGACTCTAATCTGGGAGAACCGGGTTTGATTCCCCACTCCTCCACTTGCACCTGGCTGGATGACCTTGGGCAAGCCGTAGTTCTGATAAGAGCTGTTCTTGAAAAAGAGCAGTTTCTGTCAGAGCTCTCTCAGCCCCACCAACCTCACAGGGTGTCTGTTGTGGGGAGGGGGAGAGAAAGGAGTTTGTCAGCCGCTCTGAGATACCTTTGGGTAGTGAAGGGCGGGGTATAAATCTAATCTCTTCTTCTCTTCCTCCAAGGAGAGGGTTTAAGCGTGAGTGCAATAGCTGGATCTTGCTGGTTTTGTATTTGAAGGGAAAATATTCCACCGTCAGACTGCGAAGTAGTGGAGCCAGACTTGAAGAGACAGGGCAGCGGTCTTAGGGGGGCAGCACCAGGCTTTGGATTCTTAGTTCAGAAAAGAGCACATTGAAGACTTAACAAAATTAAATTTGTGGCAGGGTATGAACTGTCGTGAATCACTGCTCACTTTTTCAGATGCCCAGTGGAAATCGCGGGTGTGACTGAATTAGGTGTGATATGCAGAGGGATGGTAGAAGAAGAAGAGATTGGATTTAGACCCTGCCCTTCACTACCAGAAGGCGTCTCAGAGCGGTTTACAATCTCCTTTCCCCTGCCCACAACAGACACCCTGTGAGGTGGGTGGGGCTGAGAGAGCTCTGAGAGAAGAGGAGGAGATTGGATTTATACCCCGCCCTTCACTACCCAAGGGAGTCTCAGAGCGGCTTAGAAACTCCTTCCCCTCCCCACAACAGACACCCTGTGAGGTAGGTGGGGGTTGAGAGCTCTTTCGAGGACTGCCCTTGTGAGATCAGCTCTGAGAGAACTTGTGACTGACCCAAGGTCACACCAGCAGCTGCATGTGGAGGAGTGGGGAATCAAGCCTGGCTCCCCCAGATTAGAGTCTGTGCTCTTAACCACTACACCAAAGTAGCTCCACATCAGGTGTGCATAATCACACCTAATTCCATCACTCCAACTATTGTCATTTGCCAATGATTCTCATTTGGCTTCTGAAAGCACTCCAAGGACAGATAGACTCCCATTCTACCTGTATCCAAAGAAGGGCGCAGTGACTCACGGAAGCTCCTACCTTGCCACTAATTTTTTTAGTCTTTAAGGTTCTTATGCTACAAACAGAGTAAACACGGCTACCCATTTTGATCGAAGTTCAGAAAGCGTTTCGAGATTCCAGTTTCAGAGACAGAGGGGCCACATCACACCGCTTTTGGCTCAAGAATGTTATCAGTGCCAGACTTCAGTTACGGGCCACGGCTCGCAGGAATGAACGTTTCAAACCACATCCATTCAGCACCTTTGATTGAACTGAAACAGGAGACAGAACCTAGTAGTGGACTTGTATGGGGAAACCTCTTCGTTTTGGACCCAAGTGGTCACACGGCAATTCCCAGTATATCCCACCACCACCACCCTGTCCTTACTGAAGGCAAATAAATCCTCTAGGAAGCGGAAACGGGGAAGGAAAAGAATAACCCAAATCCTCTCACTGGAGTACAGCTGTCAGGGGAGGTGAAATGTGTTTTAATAAAAAGGATTTGCCACCCTGTGAAACCACATGCCTGGTGTGTTGTCTTCAGCTTTTTTTTTTTTTAAGGTTTCAGACAAGGAACCCTGTGGATTCGCATGAGTTATCCAT